GACTTTCCTGAGCTTGGTTTGATTTCATAGCCATAATGTTGCATTAATGTTAGTGGTTTGCATTTAATTTTCAATTTTAGTTTACATACTACGTCCTTTCAAAGCATGTAGTAAAGCTGCACATAAAGATTAATTTACACTTTTCACTCATTATGGAATAAAACAGAACTAAGTGGTTTTTAACAAGCTGACATGCTTCTCTTGTGAACGACATGAAGAAGGCAGTGGTTGAACCTCGAGTTCAATGGAAATTTTGAGGTATGAACCACAGAGCAAACTAAGGAACATTTCTTGCTAGTATGGAAACAGTGTGATAGCATCCAGTCAGATTTTAAGGGGAGAAAAAGGCCCTAATGTTTTGAAAAATAGTCCAGGTATTCCCTTTCAAGTGTTCTGCCTCTCACTGGGCCAAATGATGCCCCATTAGATTTTCATGTGGAGGGAACCGGCGTATGCTGATCTCCTCTTCTCTGTGTGTAAGGAAGGGACCATCTAAATCACTGCCCCTGAGCCTGCGAAAGATTCTCTGCAAGCTGGGTTCCACACAGGGCGAGGGGTGGTCAGAATTGGCCAGAGGAGAGTGGGAAACAGTGACAGAGCTGAAGTTGTGAGTACCTCACCCCACATCTCCCAGTTTGGTGTGACTTATAAGAACCAGGCCAGGTCTACACTAAAAAGTGAAGTTGACACAGCTATGTCATTCAGGGGCAGGGGCAATGCTTGGGGGAGGGGGCTTGCAGGGGCTAGAGCCACCCCAAAATTTGCCTTAGCCCCCCCATAACAGCTGCCACTCTCTGGCCACCCAGCTCTGAAGGCAGCACTGCTGCCAGCAGCAGCACAGTAGTAAGTCCAGGCAGGGATCCGGGGGTCTGAGAGCAGCCTCCAGCCTGTGTCCCCACCTGCCAGGGCATGCTGCCCAGGGCAGGTGGAAGCTCTGGGGCTACCCAGAGTGGCCCAGGCTGACTGGCTTCAACCCAGTCGCTGAGCCCTGCTCCCACAGTTGCTGCTCTCCGAGGGGTCTGCTGGCCCCAGAGCTGGGTCCGCCCCCCCGGATGGCTGTTACCAGCTGTGAAAAGTGAAAGGGAAGTAGGGAGCTGAGAAGTAGCTGCAGTCCCAGGGCCTCAGGCACCAGTGGCAGCAGAAGGCAGAGACAGGGGAGCGCTGCAGCCACCCACACCATGTCACCCACCAGCACAGCAGCCGCCCCGCACTGCCCAGCTCTGGCTTCCAGCCTCTGACCTGGCTAGGGGGCAGGGTCTTGCAGGGGAGAAGGGAGGAAGAGGTGAGGCAGGCATTTACCTGAGGAACAGGGGACAGGGTCACAGAGAGGAGTGGGGCCTGATGGCAGGTTGGCCACCCAAGTAGGTTGGGCACCTAGCTCACATTGAAATCAATTTCAAATCAATTGATTTCAAGGGGAGATAGGTGCCTGACTTCTTAGGCATTTTGAAAACACACCAGGTGCCTAACTGCATCTTTAGGTGTCCAAAAACCTTTGAAAATCTGGTTCCCCCAGTCACAAAACGTTGCCAGACATAGCTGAAAGAAACTGGGCAGCAATGGACATGAACCGGGGAGAGGAGGAGAAGCCCCGATGGTCATTTGTAGCTTAGTAATATGTCTGAGTTACTAGCATGTAGTTTACTAACTGATAAGGCAGGGGAACTTGCCTAGGAAGGGTTAAGGAAGTAGCATGCATTTGCCTGTTACCCGCAGCCTAAGCAAATAGACAATAATTAACAAAATCTTTTACAAAGATTGTAGTGAGTGTTTATTGGTGCTCATAATGATCTCTAGGGCAGGGTTTGAGACTTTTCCCAGGGGCGAGGTAGGGAAACAAGAGGGAAGATAGCGCCTGGTAACACTAGTGGCTTCCCAGCTGTCTCCTGTGTAGTAGCTTGAGGTTACACTTAAGCAAGAAAGGGTAGAAACTGAGTAAATTTAAAAGAGGAACATACAGAAAATGTTGGTAAAAAATCTTGTGCTAGCAGGAGGACCAGAACCTGGCTTAACTTTCAAACTGTCATTCAGCCTTAATCACCTTGACTCCATACTATAGCACACTCTGTAAACAGGGAATATGTTTTACTGGAGCTGTTATGAATGCTCTGAACCAGGAAACAGACTTTGAGACTTTGCTCAGGAGAGATTATGATTGTTTTGGTGTCTTTCCTCCTACATGATGCCTGAAGAGAGGGTTTCTGACCTTGTGCAGTAACTGTGGCTCTTCGAGGTTTGTCCCCCTATGGGTGCTCCACTCTAGGTGCGCTCGTGTCCCCTGCGCCTCAGATTGGAGATTTTAGGTAGCAGTGTCCATTTGACCTGTGCATATACTCTCCCTATCTCATGCCCTGCACCAGGCCTGTAAAGCGGTTGCACAGGTGAACCACCCTCAGTTCCTTCTCTATTACAGAGGTCATTGGAAAGAACTCTGAAGCAGAGTGGAGGAGGGCGGATAGTGGAGCACCCATAGGGGGACACATCTCAAAGAACCACAGTTACTGCACAGGGTGAGTAACCCTCTCTTCTTTTTCAAGTAGTGTCCCTATGTGTGCTCCACTCTACGGACTCTGCAGCAGTATCCCTAAGGGTGGGATCGGATTTCAGAGGCGAGTCTAGGATTGAGGATAAGACAGTGGAGCCTGCTATGTAACAGCACCATCTTTACGTCCTTGGGGCAGATTGTTTCTCTCAACCTTCAACAACCAGCCACACCTTGAGCTGGAGAACCTGGAGATTGGAGTGATGGATCTGATCAGACTCCTGGGAGAGGAGATGAGTAACAGGCTGGTGAGTGACTGGTTGGCAAACAGTGAGTTGAGTAAGGTAGGGGAACCATGTTTGTCTTGGCCACATAGGAACTATAAGTATAACCCTAGCTTTTTTTCTCTTCATCTTGAGCAGGACCTTGGATATTAGATGAATCAGTGGAAATGCATACAAGAGACCTCTGTTCCATTGGAGGAGAAATGCATCTCGGAGAGGGAATTTCACCTTTGACTTCAGTAGGAATAAGATTGGGTAGTACCAAGGCCACATTGAAATCTACGTACAATATATGGCAAAATGCCCACCTACCTTGCTCACAGATTTATTGTTTGAAGGTGGCTACATTTTCAAAAACTGGCACAGTTCATCCTGGCTGTCTTTGATAGGCTGCATGTGCCTTCTTTAGAATGGACATTCCTGTAGGGCTATTTTGACAATTGTAGTTTAGTTTCAATTATAATGAGACTATTACTGAATTAAAGCACTGTATTAGCTTTTGTAAAATAGTTGTCTGAGGAATACGAGGGCCTATTATATATACTGCTGAACTATTACATCTTTGCTGAGACGTAGAAAGAGGCCATCACTTGTTGTGAAAATTCCAACGTATGTATATTTATGACAGGCACACTGCAGATTAAGACTACCATTCAGCAAAGGACTGAAGCTTATGTTTAACATTAAGTACATGCTGCAGTATTTTGCTGAGTCAGGGCCTATTGGAATCACTGTGCAGTCCTTCTGGATTTGCTCAATACAAAAGACTACCTGAAGATAACATTATAAAAGAGGACTGCGGAACATAAAGCAGAAAAATATTTAGGAAAAGACACTAAACTGTAGAAATATAGGGTGTCCCTCAGAGAGTACATACCATTAGTTCAAAGAATTTCTCATCTGACTTTTCAAAGATGCTGAGTACCTGATGCTCCAATTGACCTTAATAGGATTTGTGGATGATCAGCACTTCTGAAATAAGGCCACTGATTTTTATTAGGAGAACCTTGGTGTATAAGCTTTCCAGTAAAATCACAGCCTTACCCTTTGGCATAACAGCTAACTTGTACCAAATGAAGCTAAATTTGGAATGAAAGTAATCGATGGAGATTCCCCACATTCTGAAAAAGGAATAGAATTGTGTTGCAGGTGGAGGCTATTCTTTAAATGAAGGGGAAAAAGCCAAAAGCTTGCTATAAACATAGGAATAGAATGTTTTAAGAATACTGCATGAAATAAAATGAGATTTTGACTGAGTTGCACTGTGGTAGGGGAAGAAAAGATGTTGGTAATAGAGTGAATTAGTTTGTATGCATCATACTGTTGTCATAAGTAAAACGAGGATGTGGAGGTTGCAGCATGGTTTGCGGGGGCACAACAAGGTTTTGGCTGTTTCTATGATAGTACCTAGTTACAATATACCGGTGTGGTTAGCATGAAGCATGTAGACTGCAGAGACACAACATTATTTGCTTAAAGCTGATGAGCTTTGTATGTCAAATGTAGATGCTTTGATCTGCTACCACCAGTCTACAACTTTCCTTTCAAATTTGGATTGCCTAAAATCAGCTAAGAAACAAGAAGGGTCAGTGTTGTTATCAAGAAAGTCTAAAATATAAGGAAATATGTTTTTTAAGTCATCATGACAGACTGATGCAGACTGTTACAGATGTCTTGTAAGGCTCTAGTCTAAAATATTGGCAATTTCTGCTGGATACACTGGCCATGTGTATTTACTTTTTGATACATAACTGCTTTACACTTCAAGCAAACCACTTCCCAAACCTTAAAGAGAATATTCTAATCACAGTTGGCAAATAGTGAGCTTCAGTTAGTACTACAAAATGTCTAGGGTATATGGCCAAAATGCAATAAAGATATATATATCAAAATTAGAGAGTAGTCTATGCAGAGAGAAATTGCTTAAGAGACGTCATAGACTTGTTACTTTGTGTTGATAAAATAGCCCTGATTCAGCGAAGCACTTAAGCATGAGCTTAATTTTTAAGTTTATTAGTAGCCCTTTAGTGTTAAACTCATGCTTAAATACTTTGCTGAATCAGGCCGGAGTGAGGAAGTTTTGATGGTCACCAGGGCATTATCAAATGCAGAAAACATGCCAAAATGACAGTGTGTTAGCCAGGTATAAGTAGACAGTCAGAAAGCGGATACTACTTGTGCATGCTGCCAGGTTAATAAACCAATACAAAAGAAGGGCACTTTTACGTGTCATGTCCTGAAAGTGTAAGTTTATTGATCTGTGTGAGCTAGACAGTCACAAGCACCTAGCTGCTATAGCCATTAGTCAGAATGCTTACAAATATGCATATGCCACAGGAATGAGCATCATTGGAAAGTTAAAGAATATATTTGCTCATTGGGGAATTCCAGACAAACTAGTTACAGACAATGGTCTACAATTTACAGATACAAATTTCATGAAAAAATACAGTTCCCTTCCTATTACTATTAGCTCTCATTACCCTTAAGAGAATGGAAAAGCTGAAAGAGTTAGATAGTTAAAGAAATTTTGTCAGGGAAAGGCATTCTTAGCTTAATTAATTTACAGAGCAATGCTGAATGCAACGACTAAATTCAATTCAGTTCTATTGACACTCAATAGACAAAAATTGTATATAGGTCCCACCTTGAAGAATTTGCATCCTACATGGTGAAAGTTTAAAACGTGCTGATACGAGAACAATAAGAAAATATAAAAGTAATCTTGACAAGCACAATTCTATGAGAACTTTTCCAAAACTTCAACCAGGAGATGCAGTAAAAGTCAAACTGTATGGAGAAAAAGGTTGGACAACTTCTGCAGAGATGAAAGAGAAGAAAGTTTCACCAAGATCTTATTTGGTACTAACAAAGAGTATGTTATGCAGCAAGTACATGTTGCTCTGTGCTGTATAGGAGGCCAGATAGACCACCATCCCAGGTAAACAAAGCCGGAACCTGAGTTGTCTAGAAGATTGTCCTTTTGTATCAGTAATATATAGTTTTATTTAATAAATGACTCCCTTCAAGAACTTTGATTCAATGATTCCATGTAGCATGACAATTATATGAAAGTTCACTGAGATATTTTACTATTGCTCACACTGTGTTCTTCCACTTGAACATGAGCTTGGAAATATTCTAACAGATTGTAATTAGAATTTATCTAGAAATGGTATGGTAAAAATTGAAAGGTTAGAAAACAAGGGTTAAATATCTCTGCTAATACCAATAAGTATTACAATTTCATATACATTATGGCTTTTCAATAGTTTGTCCTTATTTAATTGAGAGAAAATTCTGTTTTCATTTATATTATTAGTTTATTAACTAAAAATTGTGAGATGCTGTATACAATTAACAAATATCAATGTTTGTGTTCCATCAATATTAACAAAAGATGATCTTGCACATAGGACTGGCAGACAGTCTATTCCTATAAAATTATTAAAGAACATATTACTAGTCAACAACTAAAAACCAACTTCATTTTATTTAGAAGTGTTATCAGAATATTTTATCTAAAATAACCAAACTTCTTTAATCAAATACACTTTTATTTAAAGCAGAGTATAGCTAGCATGTAATATACTTAATTATTATAGGACTTGACCTGCAATCCTTACTCACATCAGTAGACCACAAGTCCTAATTCCTACAAAAACTTCCCTTACTGCTTAATTTTTTTTCATATTTTAACATCTTTATATATTTCTCCATCAGTTGATTGTGTCTGTTCATCTCTCTGTAGAATCACTTTAATATCCTACACACAAGAATATTGAAAACAAAGTTAAAAGGACGTGTCAGATAACTTTTAGGTCACAATTAAAACTGTCATAAATTACTAAGTAACAATCTCTGCCTTTCCAGAAGCTGACTATGCTATTAATGAGCAGAGATGTAGGTGTATAACTTGTATTTTAATTGGGATTTATTCATGTAAGTCACTCTTTCCATATATCAGATAAGATACTCAACATATTCTATTTAAGAAAACACTGGCACTGTCCCTGAGCTCAATAGAAGGCTCAATGGAATATTTTGTAAAGAAAATTACAGCTTTTTATATCATTTGTATAAGGCCAATATCACAGTTCCAGACTACTGTAACATGATATTATCAGACCAAACAATTACAGGTTAACTTGTCATGAATTAAAGAATAATGGTCTACAATAGGCATTAAATATTTGTATTACAGAATAAACCAATCACTTCTTTTCCATTATGGAATTGTTATATGTATTGTTCCAAAGAAATCAGTATATGGTGTGGTGCTTCAAGCAAGGATGTCAAGGATGGATTTTAAGTAACCAAATCCAGGAAATTCAGTGTTAAGGCTTAAATCTACCTTCTTATCTAGGCATTGGAGGGTTCTTGAATCAGTGTGTGTTTTGTACTACAAATGCTACAATACCTAGAGAAGAGCTAAGGAAATGGTGGCTGACTCAGAACCTTTCCTTTTGCTGGTTCAGTTTTGACAGTTAATCTCTGTGAAAAGACTCTTTCTTCCTTATTCTATGTAATATGTAAATAAAACAATAAAAGAAAGTACCATGTTGATGCCACTGATATATGTCCCATTACATATTTGATACAATGGTATGAATTTGCATGGTAGACTTTTTATCTATCTATCTATCTATCTACTCTAGAGTACTCTACATGGCAGTATCTAGGTGCTTCCCTGATAAGTTAGGTCTGCATGGTGGCTTCATGAATCTTTTCCAAGAGAGGAGGCTCTACTTGGCATATGAACATATGTGGTTTTTGTTGCTGTTTTTGTTTTTCCACTCCTCTCTCTCTCTCTCTCTTCCTGTCCCTCCCCCATTAACTAGACTATAAACTCTTCAGGAGAGGAACTCTCTTTCTCTTACTGTGTTTGCAGAGGCCCTAGCTCTTCTGAATCTTGCTCCTGATTGGAACATCTTAGTGCTACAATTTACAAATAACACAGTAATAAATAATATGTCAGAGAGTAGGGTTTTCCTTCCACCCTAAAAATGGTAATTTTCAGTTTAGCCTGACCTCCTCTAGAAGTTCACTCCACAGTCAAACTTCTTTGACTACGAGTGATTTGTTCCCAAAGCTCAGCAGTGCCGGCAGTGCATCCTATAGGTATAAATATGCAGAGGCCAGCTTGAACAAGAATGGAAGTTCTTCAGGACAAATTCTGCCTCACTTACTGTTTAATGCCTGTATCTTCAAGATTACATTTTCAGTGACACCTATGCAACCCTATTGCCTTCAATGGATTTACACAGGTATAGCTAATTGGAATTTAAATTGAACAAAGCACTTAAGCATGTATTTAACTTTAACGGAGTAAAGAGCAAAGAGCGTTAAAAACTTATTTTGACATTAAACTCAGCAAGTGTGACTCAGAGCACACAGAGCAAACCTGTTGAGTAAGAAGTTGCCTTTTTTAGTAATTCAATTTACAGAGTGAAGCAGAGCGTCAAAGAAATGGAGGTGAAGATAAGGAAAATGAGAAACTGCAACAACATTTGGAGCAATATGTGTTTACATCGAGACAGCATGCATTTACATTTTTGTGCAGTTTTTGGTATTGATAATACATTAACTTATTGGTTTCCAGCTTTTTGTGTCAAGTGATCTCACACAAACTACTCCTCGCCCCCTCCCCCATTTTGATAATACTACCAATTGTGTAAAGAAGACGAATGATTAAATTAAAGACACAGTGTACTGTATTTTCAGTAAAAACATGAACAGCAATCTATTAGCCTTCTAGTGTTTGATATTAAAATGTTGGCGATTAAATTTTGTCTTAAGCAGAAAACATACTATTTTTTCCAGGTTGTAGGCTAAATCCCCAGGTTTTATAAAATAAACCAGATTAAGTTCAAATACTTTTTTCTCAGCTAATATATTCTGTCCAAATTTTTAAAGTCCAGCTTTTTCTCTTTTTTTCAACCATAAAATTACCTATAATTGTTGATATTCCACTAGAGAAAAAGCAATAAAGCATTTCACTGGCCTTTTGTTTTACAAGTTTGTGATAACACTTTAGGATTAGCTGGAAGAGTGGTTCAGTTTAAAACAGCCCTTTTTCAGTACAATGAGTCAGAAACAGACATTTCAGTTCCGGTTATACAGAAATAAAATGTTAGCAAATGGAAGCTTCAGCAAGTTCATTATCAGTACTTATCACTACCACATGAGGTAAATGCTGATACCAGTTAATTGTAATGCTTCTGACACACCAGAATGTGTGTTTTATTACTAAAAATATAGTTGTGAAAAATCAGTAAAACTGCAAGAAGTTACTATTTATTATCATGGAAAAAGGGCACCTCTGACATGCTGTGTGGGCAGGAAGCAAAAATTCTACATACAAGATATACTATACAAATATATTTTAAACATTACTCTAAAAATGAGCAAGGATTCATATGATCCATGATCTGATGCAGTGAGGAAAATGACAGCTTAGCATTTAAGAAAACAGCACATGTACAAAGGAAACCAGCTTCAGTGTATGTAACCAACAATTACAAAAGAAACCAAAGCTCTCAATGACCTCAAATATACTGCAGAGGTAACTGTTTCTGCTCTTGATCAATAGCTCCAATAGACAGAAATGTGCTTTTCTTCAGTTTCATGCAAGAATAATGTCTCTTGTTATCTGAACCAATAATTATCATTATTATTAGCAACTGAAGAAAAATATTATTTTTTGACGTATGTATACATTTCTTATGTCCTCCTTGACGGAACACATGATGGAGTACATTTGAAAATGTACTTAAAGTCCCTTTTAGGAGTTGAGTTAAATTTTCCACTCTTTGTGCACCCACACATCACACCACATAGAAAATGTTTCTCAAGTTTTAGAAGTATCATGAGCACGGGCTAAGAGCAGACAGTGATTCATCAATACTCCTCCTGCCCTGAGTATTAAATACCTTATTTACTGTGCACGGGAGGCCCCTACTTGTAGTCCTTACTAAGTAGGGACTATAGGAATTGTCCTTATAAGTCGAAGCAGCGTATTTCTTCATTGTCAAACGTTGTATCAAGTGTTGAATCCATATTGAGACAAATGTATGTTTAAAAAACTGCTGCTCATGTAAATTTTACAAATGTTACATGAAATAGTCTATGTAAACTCTTTGGGGCAGGGACTATCATTCCCTGTACGTTAGTACAATGCCTACCACAATGGTACTCTGAATTGAACAAGGCCTCTAGGTGCTACTAATATGTAGATGGTTAATAATAATATTAAGTTACAATTACTTTAGGAGGAGCAGCCTGGAAGGAGGGGCCTAAATAGTTACATTTATTTATAATATAAATTTATATAAAATTTTATACATATATAACACACACACACATATATATATAAATACTATATACATGTATTTGAAATCTATTCTTTGATATGCTAAACTAAGAGATTTGGAACAAAAAGGAACTTAAATAATCTTTATGCATAAATAACATAATGGCGTCAAATGCTTTAGAAAAACTGAGAGGCGAGGTGGGTGAGGTAATATCTTTTATTGAACCAAGTTCTGTTGGTGAGAAAGAGAAGCTTGCACAGAAGAAGAGCTCCAATAAAAGATTTTACCTCACCCACCTTGTCTCTCTAATATCCTGGGACTGACACGGCTACAACAACACAGCATACATTAAAAAAACTGTACATTTTATTTTGGATGAGAGACCAAAAAAAAAGATAATGGCAAACTGGGGAAAAAAGATACCAATCGTCAAACTGTGCCCATTGCTCTCATTAACTAAGATCAAAGTATTCCACTGGAAATAAACACTAAGGAGGTATTAGTGGATGTTAAATATCTATTGCAGACTATTTTTGTAATTTTATTACAATGAAAAGAGTATTATTAAAAATGTATTCAGTAGAATTTGATGACAGTTCTGAACTTAAATAACTGCTTACACACACACACACACACACACACTGTGTGTTCTGGTGACAGGTGTAGACTGACAACCCTAAAGAATAAAGTTGTCTGATAAACCAAAAAATGGATAGGTCATGACAGAGAGCTTGCTCCACAGTTCTAATCTGGACAGAAAAGGCCAGAGGTACAAGGGTAATAAAATCTTTGTGTCTAAATCAGTCCTTGGTCTTTGTGCTGAGGCTAACAAAGAGGGTACCAAACAGAGGTGGTGATTTATGATATGGTTACTGGTCCACAAGGAATTGGACTAAGCCAACAAACTCACTTCAAATAGGTCAGCAAACATCCTATCAGAGGATAATTATTTTTTATCAAGATGCTATTGGTTTGTTTTGAACTGGTGACCCAGAAGTGAAGGGCTTTCTAATTCATAACCAGTTTCCTAAGCCAGCCAGTGCTGCAGCACATATTTTTTAAAATCCTGAATTTTATAATTAAAAGCAAATATTTCATCTATATCTACCTAAATATTTTTCTGCAACTAGTGTTTATGACAGCAGAAGTAGCAACATTTTAACCTTAGAAACCACACCCTAGCTTTGCTATACTTATCTTGCAAAAGATCTCAAAATAGCAGCACTGCGGTTGAACTTCATTTTTTATAAAGATTTTTATATTTACTTGAGGATATATGGAAAAATCTTTTATGTTAAAACGACTGTATTCTTAATTTTGCTTCCTTGGAAAAGGGAAGTTTACCTACCTATGAAATGTAGTTCTTTGAAGAGGTTGTCTGAATGGAACTACATTTCTGAGAGTGCATGTGTTTTGGACACTATGGTCAGAATTCTATGGAAAGGATATAGTGGCCACAAGGATCACGAGTATGCTCCTTCATGAATACGCACAATTAAAGCAAAGTTGTACAAAGAGCTATGGCCTTAGTTTTTTTCCCACTTGATCAGAATTTTAAAGAAAGATTCCAAAGAATTGGAGATTGTGGAACCATGCCTGTAAGTACTGTTACTGGATGTAACTTCGCTTTCTTCTTCAGTACTGAGTACAGATCACCATGTCTGTTGAGATTAATTAGCAATAAAAACCCTTGAAAGAGAAAAGACTGAGGGTAATAGTTAAATAAAGATTTCAGGTCTGCATGATCAAGTCAAGTCAAGCTGCCAAGTCAAGATATGTACGTATCAGATCTAACTGCCAGATCAAGAGATAAATGTAGTACTTGAGCTCCAGACTGCCTTATGTATTTTCAGTAATAAAAGTATTCCTGAGACATGCTGCAGAAGTAATTTTGGTCTAGAGACTATGTTCTACGACCCTCAGGTACTGTGCAAGTTTGCATACACAGTTTGATCTTCTTAGGCAAACTTTGGAGATTGTGCCACTTCTGAACTTAACCTGTAAGCTGCAAACAATGTAGGCGATTTATATATGTTTAGTACTATCAAGATAGCTGCTAAGAAATGGTAACGTATTTAAAAATCTGAGTGCTAAGCTATGTAACAGCTTCTCCTGGAAGTGATTGAGGTTTAGGTTAGACTAGTGGGAGGTTAGCAGTTTAGTTAAGATGGAAGAAACAGTGTTGGTTAGCAATTTATTGTGCCCTTGGTAACTATAGTCCTAGCTTCCTATGCTCCTCCTTGCACAGATGGTCCAACAGTGGGAGAAGTTTGTCCCACAAACAGAAATAATATTTCATCAGCAATGTCTAATCATTTGCAATGCACAATTATCCATCACTAGCAATTTTTAAATCAAGATTGGATTGTTTTTATAAGATATGCTCTAGTTCAAAAGGAATTATTTTGGGGGAGTTCTATGGGCTCTGTTATATAGGAGATGAGATTAGATGGTCACAATGGTCACTTCTCGCCGTGGAATCTATGAATCGTAGACTTGCTGATGATTTGCTGCTTTGCGCATCAATAGACTTTGCCTACTTCTCCTTTGGCATTGATCTGAAAGTTCTCCCTGGTTTGGTTCTTTTGTTGGCAGTTCAGACTACTAGTGATCTAGAAGCAGGATGCCAATAAACAGAAGAAGAGGTCTGTGTAGCTCGAAAGCTTGTCTCTTTCACCAGCAGAAGTTGGTCCAATAAAAGATATTGCCTCACGCACCTTGTCTCTCTAATATCCTGGGACCAACATGGCTACAACAACATTGCAAACAATGAAAAAACTTACATTTATTTTGGGATACTTTTGGGATACTATTTATTCCTCCTCTTTGATACAGCTGGCATATATGCAGGTGTGAGCCTCAGGTCTTAAGATGGTCCCCAGGAGACCTTTGTTTATTGCAAATGTTACTATGCCTTTCTAGTTGAACTGTAACATATTGAGTGATCAGCTAATCTCACCTTGACCCACCAAAAATTCCATATTCAGAGCTTCCACATAATATCCACACAGGTCTTTAAAGTTCTAGAAATCATCAGATGGTGTAGTAAAGAAGTTTCTACATTTGCATTCAGGGAGAAAGACTCTGATTGGTCTTCTTGGGATCCTGATCATCTCCATTTACATCTGAAGAACCAGAATGCTTATCGATGTACTACGGACTGTAAATACACTCAAAGTTTTCTCAGGAGGGAAAGAAGTTGGAGGTGGCTTCTCAGAAATCTTCACAGGGAGAAGATTGGAAAACTCCTTGGAAAACTGACTCTCAGTGGTTCTCACAACAAATTTTTTGGTTGCCTCAGAGTGCGACTACCAACTCCTGCTGGTGGCCACTTTGACAATTTTTCCTAAAATACTTAATTAGATTTAGGAAAAACAAATAAATATCCACATATACATGTCCAAATTGTAATTTATTTATGTGGGTTTTGTTTTTTCAGACTCAATAATAAAAATAATGTAAATTGTCTCTATTCTTTACTGGATCTAAACAGAACAGAAACACAAATAAGGTGCTTTACACATTCTTGTCTTTTTTGTTGTTGTTTTTGTTGTTTATTTGGTTGCTTTTTATTTTTAAACTTGCTAGCTAGTCAGTCTGCTGCTCTGAAAAGTGATACTTGTATGTTAATATCACTTTTCACAGCCTCCCAGCTAACTACTAAGTCTGTTGTGAAAAGTGATATTAACAAACATACAAATATAACTTTTCACAGCAGATTTACTCAGCTCTGGTAAGGCCAGGGCCAAATTAAGCCCTGGATGGGGAGGTGGGTAGGGAGGCATCAGGGGCCAGTGGCAATGGGGGGATGGACTGGAGGACAGCGGAGGCAGCAGGTGCCAGAGGCAAAGGCGGGGGGTGATCTTGGGGCCAGAGCCACCACCATGGAGCCAGAGCTGGGGTTGGGGCGGGGGCAGGGGCCGGGCCCAAGCCAGGGGGCTGAGCCTGAAGTCCCATGGCCAGGGCCTGAGCCTAGCAGCCAGATCCTGAAGCCCCATGGCCAGATCCCAGGGCCTGAGCCTGAAGGCCTGGGGCCAGAGCCTGCCACTGCATGGCTGAAGCCCAGGGCTGGAGAAAGCAGTGGGGGCCAGATGTGATGGGGGAGTGGTGGTGAGCCTGGGGCAGGGTCCAACCCCTGTTGGCTGCCCTGGGGTGGGGGCCGTTGCTTCCCCGCCACCGCCCAATCAGTACCCAGGAGGCTGTGGCCACAAGAAAAGCCCCTGGTGGTCATATGCGGCTATGATGGTCATATCTGAGAAACACTGTCCTAGAAGGTGGAGCCTATAAACTCTAATATGGCTGAAGAACACAGGTGAGTAATCTCACCTTTCAATAACCTAGTTTACCATCAGAAATGTGAGACAGACACCATACCCTAAGTTTAAATGAGGAAGGCTAGTCCTTTGCACTGGGGAGGGTCTCAGATATGAGAATCCCCAGGTGAGTCTCACACTCCATTGTATCAGGCAGAGGCTGATCCGGAGAACTCTCAAATCTAAACCACCAGTTCTGAAGAAGCATGCCAAACTGTAGACCCTTGTGGAGTAATGGACAAAGGAAAATGGAAAAAAAATAATTCCTTCCCATAAATCAGCCACAGTCCAAAGGATGAATAGCATCTTCCAGTGAAACAGACACAAAGCCTAGAGCCAATGCACTTATTTAGCACCAACAGCGAAGGCTGTAGCAAATCCACCCCGGGCTGAAATCTTGTAGGGCCATATTTTCATGTACTCTAAGGCCACTTTACAGCAGTCTGGCAGTGAAAAGTGGCTGGAGTGTCAATAGGAATCTGGCCTAAACTGTCCAAAGTTGGAGTAAAGTGACAGGAGGTCTTTTTGAACTAAAATATAATTATAAGAAAATGTTTTACTCATATAAGCACCATGGAGCCAACAAATTCCCTCTAATCAGTTAACTGGACCTACAGAATTGCTTATTTCAGGTTTTTGATCCTTGGGAACTACAAAATAGTTATAACAGGCCAAATTCTTTTTAAAATGGGAGGACATGGGCATTTAAGGAATATCAAAAATATGTTTATTTTAATTGGAAACTTCTAATGAAATAAGATTGCCAACCCTTTTACTTTTTTCTGTTCTGGAGAGCACTTGGAAACTTACTGAGTGGCATCACTGCCAACACATTGACCATCATCATCAACGCTACTTGTTGGGATGTGGGGTTTTACTATCACACCGTTGGGTCTTTTCCCTCAGCATGAAGAATAGTTTTACTGAACAAGATAAAGAGAAGGCAACTGATCAGCTCCTAAGATGTGAATCAAAGGTTGTTCCCCTTCCTAATGTGCTGATTTTAACTAGTTTTTTTCTTGTTCGTTTGGATAATGTGGATTCAGGTAAAGCATTCTGGTAGCTTTATGTACAACAATGAGATATCTGACACAGCTGTTTGTTTTGTGTTGCCTTACTCAAGACAGTGGCTAAATGCCACAATATTGCCCACTATTTAAACCTTAACAGTACAGTAGCAATGTTTTTTGTATTTACATACATGTTTTTATTTTTTAAATACTTTTTTTTATGTTATTTTTAAGGTTTTATTCATATGGCGTCCTATATGAAATAGAAGTGGGTAGATTATCTCATCCTTAATGACTTATGGCCAGAACATGACATTAAGACACTAACTATGTAGGAGGCAGAACGAAGTCACTCTACCCAAGGAGGAGCTCAGAAAGACTGTACCTTAGCAGGCATAGTCCCTCCATTAGATCTCAAGCATACAGGAGGAATGTGCGTGTTGCACCATCCCTTTAGCTGGCCTTGCCAGCTCTACCTGGCCAACTCTAGGATCTAGTCTCTTCCCTGCCCACTTTTGTGTGACTTGTGCCCATGGGGGTGATCATCTCTCCTCTGAGTGCATGTATGTCCCTTGTGCATGAGGAAAGGTAAGGCTCCTTGCACCTCCTCCCACACCATGCACCCATGCAATGGCCACACGCAATCTGGATTGAGCAATCTGCAATGCCCATAAAGAGTCTACACTTGTGAATTTGAAGTATTTCTTATCATTAAATTTAAATTTCTAGAATAGTACACATTCGAGATTTCTGTACAATTACTAAGTAGACCCTCCCAGAAAAGAAATACTTACAGGAAGTTTGTACCCCTGGTAGTTGTTAATCAAGTCCTGAATGAAAGGATGCTTCAAAAGAATGGTAATTGGAATGGGTTTCAGATCCTCAGAGCCCAGTTCCTTGTATATTTTTCTGAAATGCTTCAAGAAAAAAAATCTTGCTTCATTTATTAGAAAAACTGAAAAAGAATCACTTCATAAAACAAATATTACATTGTGTATTTCTATAAGACATTCTTGCTGAGGGGTTAAAACATTACTTTAAAAATATGCTGTTAACGTAATTTACAATGATGTGTTTAATCTAAATGTTGTCCTTATATTGCAACAGATAGAACTTTCTTTAGTTTAACCAACCAACCAACCTTATTATTACTGCCTGCCTTCTGCCGATCACTGAATCTATGGTTGTCACCAGTTTTACTTCCTTCATAATGGAACACTCTTTGTAGAGTTGCCATAGAAATTCTTCCCTCATCTGTGCAGTACAAGATTTTTTCTTTTTCCACCAAAGGTTCCTCCTTTATCAGCATATCAGTGTGGGAAAAAGACTGGGGAAAGAAAGCATTTATATATTATGATTCAGTGGTAAGCGGTCTAGCATTAGTTATACATTTCAGTTTGACATTTATTAAGAATCATTGAGGATGTACTTCCAAATATCCATTATTATGATGGAAATCACCATATACAAACAAAATCAGTAACTGGAGTATAGGGCTTTTGAGAGTAATGGGTACCCACCACTCCTGTTGACATCAGTGGAAGTTGTGAATACTCAGCCAGGATCAGGTCCAAAGTCCTGTTATATTAATACCATTCAGAACACTGAAGGAAGTAGCTGCTTTCAAAATAGTCTTAACTTCCTCAAGTGTGTATATATATATATATAGATGTAAACTGCTATTTGCTTTATTGTATTTTTAATATTGTGTTCTTCATATTAATCACTAATTTACATTAGGGACTGCTAGACCAATACAAATGACAGAATTCTGTAAATTAGACTATAGGGGAAGCCCTCTCCAGGCACTGGGGATGTTCACATGGTGAAGATAAGAAGGGATTCTTCTGCTCCAGGCCATGGAGCCACTACATGGAGGTTACATTAAACAAATGGTTGCAGTAGCCTTGCCAGGCCTCTGCAAGGAAATGGGGAAGGAGAAAGAGTTTAGGAGGAAAGATCAGAATTTTTGGTTTTTGACAGGTTTAGTATAAAGGAATGGTGAGACATCCATGAGGCAGTATCTGATACAGGAAAAGAGGAGAACCCGGATAAAGAGGGAAGGCCAGAAGTAGAGATTTGTGATCACAAATGTGATTGATGCTTTAGCTACCTCTAGATTAGACTGCCCAATACACTCTACCTAGGGCTAACCATTAAGGCTACAAAGAAATTCCAACTAATTCAACATTCAGTCCATTTTCTGATTAAGAGAGATTCCTGAGAGTATATCACATTAGTGGTCTGGGCCCTGTACTGGCTCCCTCTCCAATATAGGAGGCTCAGGGTCTGTTTATCTTTGCCCTGAACAGCTTAGAGCCCACCTATCTTTCTCTCTACCTCCAATCAGCAAGGGTTTTGTTACTAATAGAACCCTAAAACTCTTGGGACTTAGTTGCTGAGTGTTTTCAGTGAAAGATCTTCCGCTGTGGAATTCATTACCATACAAAATCAAAATGGCAATCATTAGAATGTGATGCAAGATGCAACTGATTGTTCAAGCCATCAGTAGCCAACATTTGCACTATAGCACAGCAGTATCTCCTTGGAGTATGCAACTGTTGACTGTAAGTCCTTAAAATGCCAGCATAAAATAAATGAGCTGAGAGTATGTTCTGTTTGAATACATGAGACACACTTGGAGAAAAGATGCTTCCCTTAAATTTACTATATATGGCAACTAGATATTGTGGAGATTTGCATGTTTGAAACGTCTAGCAGAATAGAGTGTGTTTCTGATTTCTTTATCCGAGCAAACTATTTTTCAAATCTCTGAACTTTCTTGCCTTTTAACTGGTGTCACAATTTAAATTTTTAGTTTTAATTTTACTTTTTTTAGTGGAAAGGGGGAAACAAATAAGTGAAAAAATTAGCTAATTAGAGTCTAACGATTGACATAATCCTTTATCAAATAAACACATGTATCCATGTTTCAATACAAAGATAATTTACTTGATAGACTAAAAAAAGTATTTATTGGGTACGTACATATTCCAGCTCATGTGTTTAAATCATAACTTCGACTAACTTCTCTTTATAAATGATTTCCAAATTAGACACAGATGCTAAAGCAACATCATTTATAATTCCTGTTATTTTTTAAAAAGTTATATAAAACCAAGGACTTCAAAATTATTTTATAAGCCTTTTTACTTCACAGAGTTTGACTAACTTAAATGTATCCTTCTACACCACAACTATAGCTCACAATATATTTTTTATTCAATGCCCCTTGGTGGTTGTTGAACATTTTGGGTGACATTTCGGACCCACAGAAGTCAGTGGCAAAACTCTTCCTAACTTCAGTGGAATAGGATTTCAGCCATTCACTCTTTTATATATTTAACACTGCTAATAAACTGTAGATGTATGCAAAGAAGAACGTAAGATGAAGGGATATTCTGAAAGAATGTTTTTCCAGCACTATAATTCTTTGAACGCTAACTCATAAAATAAAGCTGTTATAAAGTGAAACTGATTAAAACCTGATGTTATCTAAAAGAAAAATATCTGTCTAGATACCTCTGTGCTCCCCTGCTATACTAATGAAGCACCTCACAAACAATAATGTAGTGCCTCACAAACAGAATGTATCCCGCAACATCCCTACCTATGAACATACACAATAACAAAGGAAAAGGGGGAAGGAAAATGCTAATTAGAATTCTGGCAAGCCAGACTTCAGGCTTTCCTCTGCTTGATACCAAGAAGAAGAAGGTACTGAGGCAATAGAAAGTTCCCCCTCTGATTTATAACTACAAACATTATTGTCTTTTAGTTATACGTGAAAAATTGAGTTACAAAGAGATTAAGTGACCTGTCCAAGGTAACACAGGAAGCCTGTGGCAAAACCAAGTTTGAACTTTGATAGCTTTAACCACAAAGCAATCCTTCCTCTATCTTCAACTAGCAGCCAAATAGGGACAATGTTAATCTTCTTTTACAATCTAAATTCTCCATAAATTCAGTAAAAATACCATATGTTTTACAAGATGTTTATCCTCAAATTACAGAAACTATAATTAAAAATGTATTATCATGCAACTATGTATTTGGAAATGTCTAGTTTATTTTAGTATTAGCTTTACATTTATTTAAAATGTAAACTACTCAGAGAAATAACTCTAAAAATGGGAGAGTGTGGTTCCACATTTATTGTATCTCAAGGATTTTCATATTAAGTATTCTCACCTTACAAGTAAAATGTTTTTTTCCCCCTTAACTGCCAGTCTTTCAGACTCTCCCTGGGATCTTAAAAGTCAAGCTGTATTCTTTACCAAACGTAAGATTCTGCTGGGCAAATTCTGGCCTCAGTTATACTTGCACTCCCTTTCCCAAAGCTGTGCTGGGTCTACAGTACTAACAGGGGTAAAGAATACTAAAAAAACTAATTTTTGTCACAAAAGTGAGAAGACGTGACTATGAATACACATGGGGTAGATCTGCGCCACAAAACAATGCCATTTTTATACAATAACTTTTCAGAGTAGAACTGCAGTTTAAGTAGGTTAAGGAAGTAGTAGTCGCTGTGGTTGTGCAAGTGTGGTGAGAGATTTCATCATGTGTACAAGTATTGAGCTCTTTAAAAGGTATGAAAAGAAATACACGGTGGCATGCATACTTAAAAGATCAGTCATGATTTTTATACTTTTGTAAAAAGAGTAGAAAGTAATCAGTATTGTATTGAAAGTTTTGGGTCATTAAAGACTGGGAAAACAGCTCAGCACACTAAAGAAATATGAACATATTAAATGAAGTCAACATTTTGCAGTATGTCAATATATTCATAATGGTCTTGAACTTTCAGACTGAACTCTTCAATAAATGACTGAATTTACAGCAATATGTTACTAATCCATCTGACTAACAGGTGAACTGAAATATTTGAAAACCATACCAAAAATAAACTTTTTAAGATCCCAAAGAAACATACCAGAAAAGAAAGTTAATAAGAATGGTAATGCTACTATGACTGGGGTCCTAGTGGGGGCCAGCTATGGTCACTCAGGGTGAACTGCAAAGAATGGGGCAGCCAAACCCCCAAAAGCTGGTGGATATTCCAATACTTAGATTTACCAAGACAGCATAAAACAGCTTCTTTATTACCTTACTGGTTACTCAGAAGTCCAAACAACACAGTTCCCTTAAAAGTGATCCAGTCTCAGGCCTCCATCCAGGTACCCACGTCAAATATGATGAAAATTTCTGTAAATCTTATTTCATCATATAAAAGAAAAGGTTCTACCAATCCCAAAGGATCAGACACATTACCTCCCAGGTTAATGAATGTTTCAGATCTTACCCAAATACACGCTACAGACAATTGTTATTAACTAAACTAAAATTTAGTAAAAAACAAAAGAGAGTATGGTTAAAAGATCAATGTACATACAGACATGAATTCAATTCATTTAGGTGCAGATTCATAGCAGAGATGGTGAGCTTTATAGTTGCAAAGAGTTCTTTCAGAAATAGTTCATATTTATAGTCCAATGTCCAAATATCATATTCAGGGCATACCAGCATAACTGGGACCTCTGTCTTGTGACTCAAACTTTCCCTGAGCAGATCTGAGATGACAGAATCAGGATGCAAGGATCTTTTATACAATTTCACGTCTTTTGACAAGTTGGAGTTCCTCAGGGAACAAAAGCTAATTAGGATGACTTGGAAGGAGGTCCATCACCGGTACTTAGCTATACAAATTAACATAAGGCCATTTGCTTGTTCCTCCACCATTCACAGTGTGACGCTATTGACATAAACTGTGACCGTATAGATCATTGTTGCACCAGTTCTTTTACAGAGGAGGCCAAGTAGGGTGTCTATGGAAAGGTTGTAGTTTGCTGGTTATGATTATGCTGTCTGTATGTGTGTATCATTTTTGAATATGAAGTTATGAATATTGGCCATGTATTTGTTTGATTCTAAGTAGCCTCAATGAAGAATTTGGTCAGCTTCTTGAGAAAGGACTATTCTCAGTAAGTGCCCAATCAAGAAACACTTAACTGACAATGGACTTTGGGAGACGCCAATCCACATCTGAGTTTTCTTGGGAACATCCAAACTAACTTGTAAACAATGGCGTCGGCCTGCAAAAAGCTGAATCATTCATAGACATGTGACTTGCCCAGGTGGCTACAGACTCCATCTTGTTGCTATGATCTTACACAGGAGAACAAAGGGGTTTCTGCCCACAAGAAAAAGAATATAAAAGGCCCTGGAAACCCCTCCATTTTGTCTTCAGCTGGCTCAGAAGATAGCCTCTCCACCTCAAAGAGATGCCTGAAAGAAACTGGAACAAAGGACAGTAACTACGGGGGTGTGAGTGATTGCTGGACCCAGACTAGGAAGGAATCTAGTCTGTGAAAGAAGCTTATTGGAACATCTCTGAGGATGAGATTTATCTGCATTTAGTTCACCTGTATTAGGCCTAGACTTGCATGTTTTTGTTTTATTTTGCTTAGTAATTCACTTTGTTCTGTCTGTTATTACTTGGAATGACTTAAATCCAACTTTTTGTATTTAATAAAATCACTTTTTGCTTATTAATTAACCCAGAGCAAGTATTAATACCTGTGCATATCTGAGCAAACAGCTGTGCATCTCTCGCTCTCAATGTTATAGAGAGCGAACAATTTATGAGTTTACCATGTATAAGCTTTAAACAGAGTAAAACGGATTTATTTGGGATTTGGATCCCACTGGGAACTGAGTGTCTGGGTGCTAGAGACAGGAGCACTTCTTAACCTGTTTTCACTTAAGTCTGCAACCTTTGGGGGACGTGGTTCAGACCTTGGTCTGTGTCTGCAGCAAGCTAGCATGTCTGGCTCAACAAGACAGGGTACTGAAGTCCCAAGCTGGCAGGGAAAACGGGCTCAGAGGCAGTCTCAGCCCATCAGGTGGCAGTCGCAAGGGGGGTCTCTGTGACCCAACCTGTCACACACAGTACTCAAAGAGAGATGAATACTGAGATATCCCGTGTTTACAATTCATTTAAATGTTAGGATCTTCTTTTGACTTCTGAATTATCAGAATACAGCATAGACAGGGACTGTTGATTACATGGTCGGACCATATGTAAACAGACAAAAACACAAACATTATCTCCCCACGTCTTTTGAGGGTTATTCATTTTGGAGGACATTTAACCCTTTCTAGCCATGTATCACAAATACATTTAAACAAACTTATTATTTTTTGCTCATAATAGCAATAGTAACAACCACAGTGCAGTGTATCTACTGGGGATTAATAGCTAGCTGGCTTTAGTGGTCTGAGGTTAGACCAAAGGATGCCCTCAATTCGCCTGTACTGGACATTAATTACCAGGAAATGCTCTGCAATTGTGTTATTGCTCAAGGAATATATCCTCATACCCTTACTCATATTGAGAAGCATCTTATTTTGAGTATTTCTACTGATGTTGTTAGTGCATAGTCAATGGTACTATTTCTGAAGAAAGTTGCTACCCAAAATGAGTAAGGGTATCAGAATCTGACCCAAAGTCATCAGACAAGAAATTATAACTTGCCAGCACCATAATGGCTCTATTTACTAATTCATATAATCACATTTTACCACATGTGGAGGAGAAACCTCTTTTCTTCTATGGATGTATGTTCCAGTAGCAATACTAAGCGCTCGGTAGACTCCCTCAACAGCATCAGGATGCGAAGCAAAATAAAGCAGCATCTTAGTATAGTCAAGTTGAGAGGGATCTTTTCTGGCATCAGCAAATAAAATAAAGAAAAACTAGAACAGGAAAAACATTTAAATTAATTCCTGCAAAAGATATTTGGCCAATTTAAATCAAAAGTCTATAGAGAACAGGATTAAATGTATATGCAAGGTAGTGACTGCTGAAGAGAAATATACTTCCAGAAAGAGTGTTGAGATCCTATGGAAAAATCAAGAAAATCTACATTATAATATTTTGTTTTTGGCAGTGAAGATTCTCAAAGAACCAGTAGGAATCTGTAAAATCTCACAAAAAAGTTATGACATTTTACCTCTTCTGTACACATGCACTGTGTCTCTCTCTGTGAATATATATATACCGGTACTACATTTAAAAGTAACGGGTGCAAGATTCATCTTCCTATTCTCAGGTTTTTCTTATTTTTTATAGTAACCTAGGTTTTTTTCTTTTCTTAAAAAAGTTATTTACTCAAAACTTTTGCTCCCAACAGTTGTGTTAATTATCATTTTTATACTGTACACCAATAAATTGTTGCAAAGTCCCCTTCATCAATAATGAAATGTATTCACCACTAACTATATTGAAAACAGTATCCTCGAACAGGTGTCAAATTGGAAAAAGCAGTGGTAGTCTTCCAATGTCTTATGTAAAATTAAGTGCTGCCCAGTCCTGACACCAACATGAGACAGCATTCATAGTAGCTTCTACAGAAAGGATTGTCTCTTTTTGTGTGTGTGCTGTAATGAGTAGTGAAATAGTTAATTATTATATGTCATAGTTTCACAGAGTTTAAGGCCAGAATGGACCATTAGATAATCTAGTCTGTATACAGGCCATTACATTTTAACCAGTTACCATTATATTAAGACCAATAACTTGGGTTAGACTAAAGCGTTTCAATCTTCAGGGACTAAACTGCTGTGTGCCACAGGCAGAAAACAGGGGATACTGAGGTGCCAGTAATGTCTGAGGCCCTTGCAATAAATTGTCATAATTAGGTTTAGGAATGAACAAAGCATTGAGGTACATGGGATTGTTTTTTTCCTCTCACGGCTACTGTTTCAGGCTGTCTGCAGATTGAACCAGGCATCACAGTGTCACTTTACACACAATTTACATTTTGAAGGGGTTGGTTTTTTTTTGCAAATTTAAGGGCTAGAACTTGGGCTAAGGTGTCAAAAATGGGTGCCTAAAATTATGCTATTAAATACACCTATAGCTGCCTAAATACATGGCCTGATTTTCAAACGTGTTGAGCATCAAGTGGTTCTGACTGATTTCCATTTGATTTAGGTGCCTAAATATGGATTCAGAAGCCTAACGTTAGACATCCAGTTTTTTAAATCTTGGACTTAATTTTTAATAAATGAAAGCTTAGATTCTGGAGCATAAGATGGCAGCCACCACAAAAAAATACTGATTAAATGAGCCATTGTTATTCAGCTCAATTCAATTCCTTATTATATTTTCATTACTGTTATTTAACACTTGTATTGTGTAATTACTCAGAGGCCTCAAACAGGTCAGGGCCCTGTTGTGATAGACACTGTACAAACATATAGTAAATGACAGTCCCTGCCCCAGGGAGTTTAAAGTCTAAAAGACGAGACCTAGCAAAAGTGGAGAGACAAACAAGTGTGCAAAAGTGTTTGGGAGAAGTAACAAAAATTATAGGATGTCATTGTACATATTAGCTATGTGCACAATTCTTAGCCAATCATTAGCAGATCTTTAGACTCAAATGTTTTTCACAGGTAACTCATGTTATCAGTGACAGTTGTGGTTATTTATGACTCAACTGCTCCCCCCAAAAATTTTTTTATAGTTTTCTGGTGAAAAATAATAGCTAGGTAAAATAGGTAAGCATTAACATTGCAAAAGAGGTCATGCAAACTGAGGAAAAGGACCACTGCGTTCAAAATGGCAAATGATACCTTAAATTCTTTACAGTTTTCAATAGTTACCGTTATAAGATGCTCCTGTCTATTAAAAGGCAAAGGCTCTGTAGAATTTTCTGGCATTTTTAAATCTTCACTGCCTTTAAACCATAAACCAACCTAAAAAAAAAAAGTTACTGATTTTCATCCCCTTAAAAAAAAAGTGACTGGACTGTTCTGTTCTAAAATCACAGAAAGAGATAGGTTAACAAAGTATAAAATCTGTCTCTGCATTTATTCAAGTTCAGAATTTATTGTTGTAAGTAAGAATCTACTTAATATGAATAATTTAATTAGATACTTGGACACTTTGCAACAAACTCTTTTCATGAGCAAGTAAATACTGAATGTTATGGTAGCAACTCGAACCTTATACTGCTACTATCTACATAAGAATGAATTTGTATCTAGAGAGTTCCCTGAAAATACCAAGTATTGAAACTTTATTCTTTTTGCCTATACCTAGGGGTCAATTGTGGATTTACTAAATGCCTCTTCATATAGATGCACTATCCTAGGAACAGACTAGGAAGCTGTTTGTGATGCAGAATTGCAATCTGCCTCCTGGTTTTCTCCTTCACCAAATGAGGTGTACCCTTTGCTAGCCCTATAACTGACACACTGTACATCCTCCTGAGGTACCCATACAACCGTACAGGTTGGGATTTCGGGAGGCAGAGGCAAGGCTTCCCATTCCTGCCTCGCTCCCAGTCCATAGTGGCCAAACGAGGTCAGCAGGTGCAAGAAGTAAGGGGACACCTTATAAGCCATTCCTCTCCTGCATGTACATGCAGGACAGGCCACAATCTAGTCCCTGATCATTATGGACCAAAACTTGCACCTTTTATTTAGGCAAAATTCCCATCAATATCATTTTAAAATTCATTTTGGTCAGTAGCCTGTTTATGGAAAATGTGTGTGCATATAGATATAACGTAGGAATATTCTTGTTTTTATTCTCACAGAGGTTCATTTTTTCATAGTTTGCTTCTTGGAATAGCAACATATAGAGTAAATAAATATGACTGTCATGACGTGAGTATGAAATAGAGAATAAACCTTGTTTAAAATTTTATAAACCTTATTTTCAACTAAAAATAATACTCTCAATATATTTCTCATTGGATTAATAGAACAATATGGGCATTTCCAAGCCATCTAAATAATACCTGTAAATTTTCAGAAATGTTGAGAAAAGACTATAGCCTATCAAAGTATACACTGAGTTCAAATCCTATTGGGACTGTTTTTTTATTAAAACTTCTTCATGTCCTTTTCTCCCTTTTTAGGTGGATCATTACCTTTTCCACCATTCACAACTTACAATACTCTGCATTTTAATACAAATATTTTTGCAAGAGGCAGATTTAATATGCAGTATGAAGCTGTTTTTTCAAAAACATAGGACGTGCCAAGAGAATTTCAGAGGGGAAAAATTGTTAAAATATGTTTCTGTACTGGATGCCTTCTATAGACAGATTAGTATGGAGAATTCAGAAGATAAAGATTAAGTGGATTCTCATGTTAGCTTTGCAGGTCCTCCTTAACAAAGAGTTCAGTGGCTTTTCTTTACAGATAACACATCCTTACATGGCTGAACAGCTCTTTTACCAACTCAGTGCTATTGCTCTTTTCCGGATTGTAACTACTGACTCATTAACCCTATAGTGCATTCTGTTCTACAGATGATGAGTCAGTAATTCTACATCAAAGAGTTAAACATGTAAAAGTGACTAAACATCTATAAATGTCAAAAAGAAGGATATGAAGTTTGTAATAGAGTAGCTTTAAATGCAGTGAGGCAAATACTGACCTCCATTTCCCCTAGGGTGACCAGATGTCCAGATTTTATGGGGGCAGGCCCAATATTTGGGGCTTTTTCTTATATAGGCTCCTATTACCCCACCCCCAACCTGATTTTTCACACTTGCTGTCTGGTCAGCCCAATTTTCCCATACAATCCCATTGATTTCAATGTATTTTCAAGGTGTAACTGAGAGCAGAAATGCCTATTAATTTCAAACTTCATAAGTCTGAAAAACTCCTGGTTACATTTCCCCCCTATATGTATTTATGTTGTAAAATTACAAAAATTGCAATATACAATGCTGTCAGTTAAAATTATTGGATCTCTGTGGTATGATTTGTGGGATCCTAAAGGTTTTTGGAGGCGTTCTGCAGAATTAAATAGACTTTGGGTAAAGTTTTCCAAAGCAACTAAGTAATGAAGCCTAAGTCCCATTTTCAAAAGTGACATAGGTACTTAGGCATCTGGTACTGACTTTTGATGAGACTGAGGCTCCGAATTAGGGTATGTCTACACTGCAGTTAGACACCCGCAGCTGGGCTCTAATCCTTCCATGCCTATATACAATCATAGCATTTACTGATGAATAGCTATTGGTCCATGCTATGTTCTCTGCAATAGAAAAGTGAGACAGGTGGAATCTAGGTCTGGAATAACACCTCTTAGCAGAAAATATTATAGCACTGACATATTAATTAATGGAGCTACATTTCTTAAGGGATTTTAAAAAAAATCTCCAAAGATCATTCCATGCAAGCAAGTACTTGGTGGAAGGGAGAGGAAGAGATGAGAATGCTACATTTTTAGCATTAAATTATTACAGGCTTACCCTTTGTAAAGAATACCTTCTTATTGCAGTAAACTTGGTTTTGTTTTGCTAGTTCAGACACATTGACATGGCTGCAGGGCAACTGCTAGAATGTTCATACTTCATAGAGTTCATATCAGATGCTGAGTTAAAAGGATGTTCAAACTAGCATCCTGTGTCAAAAATGCTGCATTAACATTCTGTTGACTTTGGAGCTGTTGGTATATTTTTAATCTCTAGTACCTCAGTGAAAAATACCACAATAATGTGTAGGTGGGTGCAACATCTATAGCTATACCTTTCTGTGGCTTTTCCAGCTCTGGCAGGGTTAGTTTCTTTTCAAATGTCTTGGGACATTTGCTGCTGGAAGGTAGTTGGATCAGTGATACTTTGAAGAAAGAAATTCTGAAAATCACAGGCTTCTGGAATTATATTGCCAATATTTAATTCTGCAAGAGGAGCAGTATAGATGCCTGTGAAAGGCAGCTGCTGCCTTCCCCAAAATTCTTTTACTTTCATGAAACCTCCCTTCCCAAAAACCTCGCTGAACTTTGCAAAATGAAGACCCAAATTAAAATTTTCTTATGTATTTGAACCAAAGAATCTTGTAATTTCCCACTCGCTGCAGGATGAAAAATCAATCTTCATTTGCAAAAATTGTTTATTTAACTAAATAAAGATAAAATTACAGATATTTTACAGCCAAAGTAGAGCTGTCAAAAAGAAAAAAAATCTGGATAAATTAAGAGAACAAATAACAAGAATCAAATAACAGTATGTCAGTTTCTGATTCTCTAGAACAGGAGGATTTTCATTAGAAACTAGTTCCCGAGGAAAGAGATAAATGAATGTACAGAGTCCACCTAACTAATCTGATTCTTGTTATTAAAAACTGTGGATGGGATCTGCAAATATTGGACTCAATCTAGCAAAGTTTCTTTATTTTCTCTGCATAAGACAAATTTCACCAAAAGGGATCCCCAAAATACCAAAACTATTAAAATTCAGACTGTTTAGAAAACTAAATGAACAAAACTAATAATACACCTTTTGAATAAAAACTACAAAATAATATTTTTCAAAAGAAGAAACAATTATAACCTGATTATAGTATTCCTGTGTAACAAAGCCTGATCCAGCTTCATCAACAGCCTTAAAGCTGTGCAGGGTATTAAGGAGCTGTATCACAGAGGGAACTGGCCATGGTTGAGCCGCTGTTAATAAGAATCTGCGCCAATCAATAAGTTCTGAGTTCACCGTTAATGTAGTTGCCAGATTTTGTAACTATAAAAATAAAATTATAAATAGTTTGGACTACAGTTGTGTGTAAGAATATACATTTCTTACATAATTAAAATAAAACACAATACAATTTTATACAATTATACAGAAGGAATTTTCTTCACTCTGACAGAAGATAGCCATCAAACTCTGACTCTCCACTTTTAGACACTTAGCATCAGATTGCGCCATGTCTTAATGTGGTTTCACAGGTGAGTAAATAAGCTCTCAGAACCTGAACAGTCATTTTAGGCATCCTTAAACCTTGAGTCCCCCAGCAAGATGAAAGCTGTGCACTTGGTACTCCACTCTAAGATGGTGGATGGGGAGGAGTATGTGGATCTTCGGTTCTCTTCATACCCACAGATAAGTCAATTATTATCTATTTGCAGTAGTGTCCACTATGTGCAAGGCAAAGAGGGGAATATATTACACCTAGTAAAGGGCTCCCCAGTAGGAGAAGGATCCTTCTCCTAAATTCCTAGGAAACTGGATTTGTAGCCTTACAGCATCATCTCCCAGTTCAAGTCATCACTGAGGTTTCCTGCAGTGAAATTTCTAAGATAGATGATGGGATGAGGGTTCTTCCTATTTCTTCTTGGAGATGAGGTTTTCACTGTATTTCACCAAACAAGCAGCAATGTCTAGGGGTGCACTTTAATGAAAGCCTGGTTTGGGAAATCTAACACCTGTAAGGACTAAAGATACTTAAAGAATGTGTTGTGGGATACATAAATAGATACATATTTTATATTAGTGATGTAAGTAATCCTCCATTCAGCCTGCATACATGTCAACTACTAACAATATGAACTACAACTACTAAGAACACTACTACTAACATTCGCTAACAACAAACTGAACATCTGACTCATATTCTATTTAATTTCTTTACTATGCAAAAAATATCGATTTATGGCCTGATTGCAAGAGGTACTGAGCATCTGCAATTCCAATTTAAGTCAATCGGAGCTCCTGTTGCTCAGAACCTTTTAGGATTGATCAGGTACTCAGTGAAATTCATCCATGTGCAAAGAGTCCACACAAAGTTGTCTGTACCAGTTAAGTCTCAATTAAAGTCTTAATGTTAAACCTCTTTCACTGTAAGTGCATTTCATCCTCTGAGTGTAAGCCTTTTCCTAGAAGAATCCAAATTTACTAAATTTGGTAATCCTCCTTATCCCATAGTCTTGGACGCATGTGCTATTAATAAAAACATAATCATTTGGGAAATCTAATGGTATCACAGCAAATTCAAGATTCTTGAAGAAACATATTTAACACTATGCAGGTCCAACCTCTGCCTACTTATTCCCATATCTTGGATTTACCGTTGAATAAAGAGCAAAAACGGTCTTGTGGTTAAGCACCGGATTGACTCAGGAGATGTAGGTTCTATTTGCTGCTCTGCCATTGATTCTACTTCAGTCTTGGGCAAGTTACTTAATGTCACTTTTTCTCAGTTCCCCCTCTGGAGATAATTCCTATCCCCACAATGATGTTGTGAGAATAAATTAAATTAATGTCCAAGACACTCATATACTATAAATGAGAAAAGCATAAATAAATATAGTAGTAAAATACGGATTAAATCTTGTCATTGCTGCATCCACAAACTTACTCTTATAGAAAGGAAATGATGGGAGTAATAACTCGGAAGGCCCTTTAAAAAAATTTTTTTTGTGCTTCTTTATGGTAAGGATAAGGCCCAGAACTGCATATTCACTAGGCAAACTGGCAAAGCGTTCAAGTGATGAGATCTACAGAAATGAAAACAGCAATTAAAACTTACATCTGAAACTGTGAAGCGCATCCATACATCAGGAAGGCTGTTTGTTCCAAGGTTCAAAGTAATCAAGTCAAGAAGAATGTCAATAAATATTTTATTTGATATTAAACCTAGTGAAAAAATAAAAATGTGTCAAATGGATAGCAAAAGACATATCTGCACTTTCTGAAATGGAATATTGGTATAAAATAAACTATATTTCTAGTATTTACTTTCTATGATTATAGAAAAATTACTTGTACTGTCAATGTAGTTCTTAAAAGGCAGCAGTATCCTCTTTGTTCCAACTCCTACATTTTTATATATAAAATATACATGTTATGAATTACACCACATGTATGGTCTTGATAACCCATTTTATAGCCACCTGATAAACTTCAGAAGCATATGATAAATTATATTTATTTTGCATGTTTGACCTCTTCACCTGTACTATGCTCACTAATCCATCTTTGACTAGACTACATTGACAGTTAATAAATAGAGAGGCCATCACAAATGCTAGTTGCCAGACACCAACATAGTCTTGTACATGAATATCACCATCGCGACCAATGGTTTCTTTTTGCTTTATAAGGCCTACATTCTTCAATTTAGGTTAATTAGAAAACATCAGATGCTTACTCTTGAAAGCAAGTAGATATGAGAGTGTGGAACTTTAGAGGAGATCACAATACATTTGCAGAAAATTCCAGCTACAGTTAAATAATTTAACTTTACTTCAAAACAAAAATTCTTTATACAGACCAGCTTTTGGAAATTGTAGCTATCTAACGCAAAGAGGTTTTCTAATGAAATTAAAAGAAAAAACGACTATATGTCTATTTATCTTTGATAAACAAGTAGGTACTTTTATTTGAATAAATAGAAAATTGAGATTCTATGCAAAAATTTCACATGTAAAAAAGGAAGACTGTGGTTGCTGAGGTAAATAAGACAGATGAGTTGAGCCCCTCAGTTTAAAGTAGGACTTTGAGACACAGACAAGATAGATTAGGATTTATTGTGCAATCACTGTTAATCCAATAAAGTTTAAAATATTGAGTGAGCCGCATATGACTTCAGTTTTGAGAGGCAAAACTTATCTTTGTCTGGCTAGTATTACTGCCATGCTTCTAGAAGACTGGATTTTCATAGGGCCTCTCTAAGGGTATGTCTACACTATGAAATTAGGTCGAATTTATAGAAGTCGTTTTTTTAGAAATCTTTTTTATATATTCGAGTGTGTGTGTCCCCACAGAAAATGCTCTAAGTGCATTAAGTGCATTAACTCGGCGGAGTGCTTCCACAGTACCGAGGCAAGTGTCGACTTCCGGAGTGTTGCACTGTGGGTAGCTATCCCACAGTTCCCGCAGTCTCCGGAAATGAGATTCAAAAGTTCACGGTTCTTTTCCTGTCTACCTGGCCAGTGCATCTGAGTTGAGAGTGCTGTCCAGAGCAGTCACAATGGAGCACTCTGGGATAGCTCCCGGAGGCCAACACCGTCGAACTGTGTCCACAGTACCCCAAATTCGACCCGGCAAGGCCGATTTAAGCGCTAATCCACTTGTCAGGGGTGGAGTAAGGAAATCGATTTTAAGAGCCCTTTAAGTCAAAAAAAAGGGCTTCATCGTGAGGACAGGTGCAGGTTTACATCGATTTAACACTGCTAAATTCGACCTAAAGTCCTAGTGTAGACCAGGGCTAAGTGACATCTTCACCAAACTCTATCAGAAAAATAGCTATTTTCTTACGGTTCTCTTAGCTACAGCCTGGACTTCTTCTGCTTTTTGTTTTAAAAAAAAACACGCATGTAATTATATAGATTTTCTAGTTCTGACTTTATTCACTGCAGACAGAAAACCAAGGACCTTCTAAGAAGGCAGTTAATAAAGAAAAATTTCAATGGCAATGGGCACTAAGAATTTGTTTGACTACGACATAGCATAACTACTGTGTTTTAGGAACTGATTCTCTCTCTCTATGCCCCTTCCTCCTTTCCGGCTGTGACTCGCCACTACTGCAGAGCTTACCCAGCTTTTGTGATGAGTGTTCTGAGCTTGATGAGTCAACCTTGAGCCTGTTGAGTCATACCTGACCCTGACTGTTCTGAGCTTGATAAACCATCTAAGGTAATTATTCCCTGTGAGTCCTATGGGTCCAGCCAATTCACAAGCAAGAGTCTAACAGGTGACCCAATGCAGGTATATAGGCTTCTAATGAAAGCAGCCACTCCAGTCTGTTTAACATCACTACCGTCTCAGGGATAATCCCAGCAGCCTGGTAATTCTGAAAGTCTGCTCCTGCTCAAGCCATTGTTGGTTGTCTGACTGTCCTGACAATTTGAGCAGACTTTTCCTTACATGTATGGCTCCAGTGCCTGAGATGGAAACCCCCTGGGATGTTCAGCACTGCGATGATGAAGTGGGTCCAGAACCTTCAGGATCAACTTGCCCAGCTGCAACTGAAGAATGCCTTTGTCTGCTCACAAATCCCAGCAGCTCCAGTAGTGCTGGCTATGGTCCCTCTGGAAAGGTCCATCTCTGGAAAGGTTTGGAGGGAACTGCCAGAAATTTGTGATTTTGTTAACCAATGCTGCCTTTTGTTCTTGATGTTCCCATAATATATTCTGATGACCAGACCAAGGTGGGCTTATCATCAATTTATTGACCAGTGAAGCCCTAGACTGGGTCTTGCCACTTCTGGAATAGGTTAGCCTGATCCTTACTAATTTCAGTGAGTTCATCCACACCTTTTCATTGACATTAGACTATCTGAATTGCACTTGTAGTACTAAAGCCGCTGAAACCGCTGAAGTTTCTCTGACAAGGCCATTGGCCCAGATTGGCACATGCTGCTTACTTTTGGCATCTGGTTGCTGATATGGACTGGAACCAGGCAGCCCAGAGCTACCATTTCTGTCCCATTCTAAACTCATATATTGAATTGTATATCTGGACTACCAGTCATTTGTCTGAGCAATGCCAAGAAAAGAAGAGGACAAAACCACATCCCCAGTCTCTCTCTGCTCCATTCTGGCCATCCCCAGAGGCTGTTCCAGGGCCAGAGCCTATGCAGACGAAAGTGAGGCAAAGGCACCTCACAGATCAGGAAAAGGAGTATTGGTGGCAGAACAGACTTTGCCTACACTGTGGTGTACAAGGCCATTTCACTACTGAATGCCCCTATAAATCAAGACTGACCCTTGGAAAACCTGGGAAAGACTGTGTCCAGCCCCATTAGAGGGTTTGCAGCTGGACATAACCATGGAGTCAAGTCCTTCACATGAACCTCCTCTTCTGCCATCATGTATCTCGTATGCAGTATTGTCGTAGCTGTGTAAGTTCCAGGATATTAGAGAGACAAGGTGGGTGAGGTAAGATCTTTTACTGGACCAACTGATGTTGGTGAGATAGACCAGTTTTCGAGCTTACCTGAAGAAAAGCTCTGTGTAAGCTCAGAAGCTTGTCTCTCTCACCAACAGAAGTTGGTCCAATACAAGATATTACCTCACCCATCTTGTCTATGAATGTATGTATGTATCTTGGCAGCCAAAAATTGTTACCTTCCACACCTGCTGGTCTTGCTCTGCCTCTGCATCCCAACTATAATTTAGGTGAACTGCATCCAACTCTGAGCTTGTGGACTCTGATGTTTAGTAAATTTATGGATGTGGAGTTTGCCAAAACTAACCTTCTTGCAGTGCGGAAGAACCTCACCCCAGACCTAGTGGAGTTGACTGACAGTAGCATGCTGTCCTCAAGTCCGGTCATGCATGAAACTGCACCCCTCCACGTTGAAATCCAAGACCATCAGGAAACTCTGCAGTTTAATTTAACCAATTCAACACTCTTCTTGACCATGTTCAGCATTCCCTGGCTCTCAGACCATGGTCCAAACATCTCTTGGAAGATGCAAGAAATGATTTGAGTCAAGCTACTGCTGCTGACAACTGACACAGACCCTATAACTGCCCCATCAACTTCCAGCCAGAGGACCAGAATTCCATTTGGATGGATTTATTTCCTCTTGGAGCCAGAACTCAGGGCCTTATAATAATATGTTGTCGAGAATCTTGCACAGAATTTACTTTGCCTGTCCATGTCTCCTGCTGGAGCTCCGATTCCGTTTGTTAAAAAGAAGGGTGGCTCCTTGTGTCTTTGCATAGGATATCATGCGTGGAACAAAATCATTATTAAAAACAAGTATCCCTTTCCAACCCTTCAACAGGTTGTTGGAAAGGGTAGGTTACAACAAATTATTTACCAGACTCGATCTTCACAGTGCTTACAATCTAGTCTGAATTTGGAAGGGTGACAAATCAAACTGAGTTTCTCACCTGTTATGGACATTTTGAGCACCTAGTTATGCCTTTCACTCTGTCCAGTGCCCCAGACACATTTCCAAACTTTGTCAATGACATTTTCATGGATGTTCTAATCTAGACCAGTTAATGGTGATCTACCTGGATGATTGTGATGAAGTGGCATTTTTTGGGTAGTATTTCTATAAGTCCTATGTATGCCTCAGTTTCCTCCTATACTTTGCATTGCCACCCGAGGGGAAAGGGTTAACACTCCTCCAGGAACAGTGCAGGAGATATGAGGTGTGTGAGTGTGTGTGTGTCACCTTGCTGTCTGGGTGAAATGAATGGGTTGTTAAGGAACTGGCTGAAACCAACCCAGATCAACAGGGGATCCAGCAGTACAATGGAAGCCCCAATGATTGAACAATCTATACTCAACAGTGGGAAGTTCCTTCAGGTGCAGTTGTGAACTCAGCAAGGCCCTGCCTGGAGAAGAAAGGACTGAGAGATGACCATAAGGGGATAAAGAGTTGGCTTCTGGAAGAGGCTTCCTGCTCTCACCTGGAACTGGAATAAAGAAACATGGACACAGATGGAAACCATCACAGCTTGGCTGGCATTTACATAGGCTTGGTCAGGATGGACTATGGCTTAATTTTTGCCTGTCTGTGCTATCCCAAAGACTTCAGCTTCTGTATAACAGGTGACTAAAAATTGTTATCTTCTTTTGAAAAGGGTGCTTGCTGTTGCTGTAAATAATAAGAGTATTGATCTCTGAAGGGGTACAATACAAGCCTCCTGTAGGAGTCCGCCTTGACTGGATCC